GTGGCAAGCTGTACTGCCGGGAACATGCAAAAAATAAATAAATAAAGAAGCGTCGACGCAAAAATATGACGTCGACGCAATTTCGCGCCGCTACAGCACTAGCATTAAACTGACAGCCCTAATTTTTTTGCTTACTCAGGGGTCACAGCAGAACTGAGCTCTGTCGTTAGTGTAACTCGTGATGTTTTTCAGGAAGGCAGTGGACACGGTTTGTTTGGTGATAGTTTTCGCTCACCGGAGCAGGTCGTACTCGTGGCGCCACTCTCCTCCATAAATTAAAACACACCTGAGCTCACCCTTCGGTCACACTCTTCTCACCCCGACGCAAAATCCCCTCGGCGCAGTCTGGTGTTGTTCTCAAACCACGACACACACAAGCAGAGGAATGAAGGAAGACGTTCTCATCGAATCCTGCTCAAGAACAGCTAATTTGATTGGCATTACGTTGCATTTCTGCTGATTCCCTAATGCGAGTGCATGCATTTTATAACGTTATATTAAGTAAATACAATAAAGGCCTAATGGGCTGATGGGTGCCGAGACAAGGCCTGCTGTGTTTTTAAGAACAATCCCATGGTGCATCAGAGGTTACAGAGAGTTCAGGGGTTACTGGGACAAAGCGAGTCTGAACGGGTAGCGGAGACTGAAACACACACACACACACACACTCTCTCTCTCTCTCTCACACTCGCATACACACTCTCTCTCTCACACACACACACACACAATCTCACAAACATACACTCACTCGCACATACATACAAAGACACACACACACACACACACACACTTTCTCTTACATGCATTCAAACTCTCTCTCTCTCTCTCTCTCTCTCTCTCTCTCACATACATCCAAATACACACACACACACACACACACACACACACACACACACACACTTTCTCTTACATGCATTCAAACACTCTCTCTCTCTCTCTCTCTCACATACATCCAAATACACACACACACACACACACACACACACACACTCTCTCTCTCTCACACACACACACAGCACTTTGTCAATGACGACATTGATAAGTCATCCTTCTGTATTTATTATGTCACATTGTATTATGTCTCGCTGTCAGAGGGAGATTTCAGAGTGAAAGCATCAAATCCCTCATTAAAAACCACTAATAGATGCTAAGTTGCTGAGCGCTTCCTTAAAGCCTTCATTATTTAGTCATGCAATTTAAACAGATTTATTATCAGATGGAGGGATAATCAAATTGTTTCTAATGTCATGAGACACTGATTTACATATTTTCATGTATGGTGGCCACAAAATCTATTTGAACACACAAGTCATACTTGAAAAACGAATGATTGAGCAAAGTCACTCTTCCGCCCACTTAAACCGGTTTAGTGTGTGTCAATCTGAGGTTCCTCATTGTGTGTTTGCATGTTTCATCCTGACACACACTTCCAGTAAAAGTTTGGGATCGGGAAGATATTTAATGTTTTTGAACATTAAAAAGCTGCATTTATTTGATTAAAAATGCACAAAAATAATAATGTCGATTAATATTATGACAATTTAATATATTTTAAAGTGTAATTTATTCCTGTGATGAAAGCTGATTTTCAGCATCATTACACCAGTCGTCAGTGTCACATGATCCTTCAGAAATCACTCTAATATGATGATCTGATGCTCAATAAAACTTGTTTGAACTATAATCTTTTGTAACATTACAAATGTCTTTACTGTCAGATTTTGATCCTTGACGAATAAAGTATTGATTTTCTTTATTTATTTCCCCCCAAAAAATTAAATAAAAATCATTACCGACCCCAAACTTCCAAATGATAGTGTACAATTTTACAAGCTTTCTTTCTGTTCATCAAGGAATACTGAAAAAAAATATTTTCAACATTGATAATAATAATAATAAATGTTTATGAGCACTAAATCCTCATATCAGAGTGATTTCCGAAGGATCATGTGACATTGGAGACTGCAGTAATGATGCTCACATAGAAAACAGTTAATCTAAATTGTAATATTACACAATATTACAAAAAAAAAAATTTACAACAAAAAAAATCTTTGGTGCATTTGGATCTTGAAAATCCCAAAAATTTGACTGGTAGTGTAGAATACACATACACACACACACACACTCCACCACAGCAAGAATGTAACGCTCTGGTTAAATTTATCACCTCTCATCAGCTTTGCAGAGGTGAATCAAACCACACACGTCAGCTGAGGACACACACACTCTTGCCCTCCAACCAGCCTGACTGGATTCACACACAGATCTGGCCAACAGGGAAGCTCGTTCTTATCAAACAGCCATCCATACACACTAAAGTCGCTTGTGCGCATTCATAGTGCTGTACGTCTGGCCATATATAAAGTACAATCAACAAGTGGTGTATAAACTAAGATATCATTCTAATTTGACGGCTTAAAATATTTAAAAGTAATGTTTAAGAGTGTTGTTATATTACCCACAGCAGTGCTCAGTGCATTAAATCATTAACTAGACTAACGATCGATCAACCAATTAAACTCATTCATACTGTCAACAGTTAGGCCTACTAAACGGCATTCGAATTTGACAAATAATCAATATTCATAATGCATAACACAGTGCTAAACTTGATCATAAAATTACAAGACACGAACTATCAACGCATAAACCAAACTCTTTAAGGGCCCTTTCACACCTACCTTGTTTGATCCGGATTTTCACACTTTTCAGTTTGATCCGAATCAAAACGACAGGTGTGAAACCTCCCCCGCACCAACCAGAAGAAATTTGGTCCGACAAAAAGAGGTCGTCAAACTGAACAAAGGTTTGGGTTCGTTTCTAGTAGGGCTGTCGCATTACGTTCGAAAAACGATTGCACAATCGATCGGTCCAACCAACACAAGTTTCGAAAACAAAAATAGAGAATCGATTTTTACAGCCTTTTTTTTTTTTTTTACATAAATGTGTTTTAAGCCTAGTTCACACGACATGATTTTAAAACGTCGGGCTGAACTGTGCGGCTCACACTACATGACTTGCTCTCTAAAATCAGGAGTGTTCAAGTTGTTGAGCACCACACACACACACACAACGTGATTGATCCGCAACAGGAGGTAACGCACTACACCAGTTGATAACAACCCTGTCACCCAACGATTCTATCTGGTCTACAAACCACGTTTTGTCACGAAAAATCACGTGATAAAACGAACCGGAAATGATGCGAAACAGCACGTGCGCCAATACCCCGCGAAGAAGACGAAGAACACAGTCAGAAACTAGTGCTGCAATTGTTCGCACGATGATTTGCTCTGAGAGAAAAAAACGCAAAAAAATAAAAAAATAAGATTTACCCGGTGACATCAACCCATGCCTTGCTCTGATTGGCTGTAGCTCATGACATCACGTGAGGTTGAGTCTCTGGATATCTAGCATGTTAGATATTTTTCTCGTCTGCGAGCGTCTTTGATGCGTTGTTGGCTCTTTCATACTAACAGATTGGCGAGCGCTCATCGTCCGCTAATCCACCGCGATTTGCACGCGATAACACCCTGACCCGTCGGCGAGCTCAACGAATTGCAAATCAGGCTTAAAATCATGAAGAATGCTGGAAAATAAAAATGTCTTTTCAGTTCACTAAATGCTTTTTAATATTCGCTATTGCTTCAATGCAAGTGAATAAGCGCGCCGTTATTTGTTGCGTAGTGACGAGTGTGTGTTCAAGTAAGCCAGAAATGCACAGATTCTGTATTTAATATATCATAAGGATATATTAAGGACATTTTGTAAAATATAGCTTTCATTACTTGTAATGTACCTGCAGGCAACCAAAATTGATTTTAAGACTTGATTTAAAACTTGACTTTAAGTGATCATATAGAAAATGATTTAATTTTGTTTTCAAATACATTGTAGTTTGGAAGCAATGGGCTTTTAAATTTGTCCTCTTCATGCCAAACAACAGCAGTATCGATCGCCTCGCATGGCCACCCGCAGCAACAGCACAAATCAATACAAGCTAAGGTAGCCTTTATACGTGTCAATAAAGATCGCCTGACAACACCAATTAAAAACTCGATCTCAGAGATTCGGTACAGAAAAACATCTGAATGCGCTTGGCTTCATTGCAGCGGCCTTGGGTTTACGTCAACTAAGAGAAGTGTGGCTCGTCACAGGAAGATTAAGTTTGATTCAAGATTACGGGGTCAAAACAAAATGTAAAACTTGGACGGATGAATCATTCGCCATAAGACCAGTATGAACACGCATGTGGCTCATCAACAGGATCAGTTTAGGTTTCAACCTGAGTTTAAAGGGATTGTTTACCCAGAAATGACTCACCTATAAAGGTTCATCTTTAGAAAACAATTGGATATATTTTTATATTCCTTGATTATTTTTGCCCCTTCATTGAAAGTCCATGCAACCAAAAAGTACATAAAGTAATCAATATGTATTGAGTGTTTATTTTGAAAAGAAATTCTGATTTAATTTAGGCTTTAATTTATAAATCTAAACATTGATCAATGCACGTACAGTACATGTTTTTTGCGCTTGTATTCCCATGTACACTAATCAATGTTTGTTTACATATGAAAAAAAGTGAAATTAAATCTGTTCATCATATAAAGTGATTGTGTCTCATCAGAATAAAACACTCAAATCATTTGCAATACTTCACAGTCTTTTTGAAGCTTTAAACTTTCGGCTGCGTGGACTTTCATTAGATGTACAAAATGATGAGAGAATATTAAAACATCTTCATTTGTGTTTCAAAGATAGATCAATGAAAGAGACTTGGGTTTGGAACGACATGAAGGTGAATTAATTTTAATTTTAGGGTGAACGATCACTAAGTTTGACAACCAGAAAATGCTGAATTGAGTGTCTTATTTTAAAACAATAAATGCCTGTTAGTTTTCGATTTTTCCATCTGATGCAATAACATGCTGAAGTGTATGCATACTTTCTTTGGCCGCTGCATGTGTGCGTGTGTGTGTGTGTGAGAGACTCACTAAGTGTCCTGGAGTAGGTGATCGTGAGTCTTTGAGTGCTGCTGTGCCTGGAACATCCAGAAGAGGCCATTTCATATGCAAATACTGTGGAAAACAAAAACAAACGGCAGATTAGACAGCAATACTGGGTTTTGAGTCACATCTTCCTTTTAAAATCAGAATGAAATGAAAGTTGCTCTAGACTTTTCTCTCCTATTGTACCATATGTCCGAGCGAAACTGCTTCTGGAACAAGAGCAAAAGTGGGTGGGGCTTGCTTTTGTCAGTAGGTTGTGGTTTGCTATTGGCTAATCTCACGTGATTGACAGGTTATAGTCCCGCCCTCGTCATCAGAGAAAAGATGCGGCAAGAGGGAGTTATTCTGATTCGAGATGACCATAAACATGAATTTAAAGGGATAGTTCACTTTGAAATTAATTTTTTATATGTTTCAGCTTACCTCAAGGGTGTCTTTGTTTCCACAGTATTTTCAATTTTGATATTTTTCAGTCAAACCGTTGTTGTCTATCAGTCATACACTGGAGGCTAAGGGGGTCCACCTCAAAGAGCATGCACAGAGAAGTCCAAATTAAACATGATTTAATGACTCGTAAATGTAAGTACACACTGATGGCCTAAGACACGAAACGAGCGGTTTGAGTGCGAAAACGAACAGTATTTATATCGTTTTTACCTCGTGTAATCCAAGTGATCTGAATCAGTTGTGCAATGTCCAACTGAACCGAACTGAATCAGTTCAATGTTACGCCGGAAGTGATCGCTTTTTTACACGGAGATTTCGGAAGTTTTACCTTTTACTAAACATATTTAGATATACCGAAATCGTCTTCCATTGCGGTTTCCCGTATATCTAAATATGTTTAGTGAAAGGTAAAACTTCCGAAATCTCTGTATAAACAAAGAGTGACGTAGGGGTGCAAGAGATCACTTCCAGACCGAAGCGCCCATGCTGTCAGATCATTTTGTCATGGCTATGATTACAAGAGGTATAAACAATATAAATACTGTTCGTTTTCTCACACAAACCGCTCGTTTCGTGTCTTAGGCCATCAATGTGTACTTACATTTACGAGTCATTAAATCATGTTTAATTTGGATTTCTCTGTGCATGCTCTTTGAGGTGAACCGATTGAGGACCCCCTTCACCTCCAGTGTATGACTGACAGACAAGAACGGTTTGACCAAAAAATGTCAAAACTGAAAATACTGAGAAAACAAAGACACCCTTGAGGTAAGCTAAAACATATCAAAAATTAATTTCAAAGTGAACTATCCCTTTAAAACAATATTAATGTGCACAGAAATCATTTATAAGAAATCCTGCAATTTTTCATAAAAATAATTGTCCATTTTGACTTCCCTACTTTAAAGTTGAATGCAAAAGTTCTGGCACAAAACAGGTGCAGAAACTTCACCTCAGTGGGTGGCAAAGTTATCCAACATGTTTTGTCAGACCTGTCGACAAAACTGCACCTTTTAAAACAGTGTGTGTGTGTGTGTGTGTGTATAGACAGGTTTTTTTCTGATGACTAACTGTGATTGAATGAGTGAAACAAATGTCAAATTGAAAAGAGACTTTCGTTCTGCCTCTCAGAGGGTCATAAATAAGTACAACAGTCAGCGGAGAGCAATTCTTCTGGCAGACACCTGTGTCTGTATCTTTCACGTGTGTGTGTGTGTGTGTGTGTGTGTAAAAAACGGAGAGACAGTGAGAGTGTGAAATCTGTGTTTGTCGGAGAATGTGTTCCTCCCAGAGCCCAGCTGTGGGCGTCTATCGAGGGAGTGTGTGTGTGTGTGTGTGTGTGTAGGGGACAGCTGAGAGGAAATCCCATGGAGAGAGGTGGGAAAACTGGACCGTGGTAAAAACACAGCCACATTTATAATGCTCAAGTGAATATCCCTGCACCTTTGACCTCTCCCTGTATAACTTCAACTATCAGGACGAGAGCAAACACCATCCCCATTTCTTCGTGTGTGTGTGTGTGTGTGTGTGTGTCCCACCGTAGGCCAAACAGGTGCGCTGAGAATCACTAAAGCACAATGCGGTTTGTAATGAATGCAGAGGTTGTGTTCAGATCTTCTTGTTTTGCTCCATTTGGTCTTATGGTCATATCTGAAGTCTCGGTGGAGTTCAGCTCAGACATCTGGTTTATCTATCAGTTTAACTGCCGGATACAGCAGATTTTCATGTGCACAGATTTCTTTAGGCTGCTCCAGAATTTATCATTTATTAAAACACATTTAGTTGGAGCTAATATTCTCATGCTAGTGTTTGAGCAGAGCGTGTTAAAGTCGGCAGGAAATAAAAACTCTCTTAAACGCGTGTTCCTGCTTCTAAAGGGGAAACTGGGAGATAAATGTGCAGGATTTACTTTCAAACAACGTTCACTGAGAAATTGTTAGTAAAGTTCACAAATAATCACAGGGAAATGGCATGCAACACACAACTTTGAATTAGAAAGTCTAAAATAGTATTCTTGTGTAAAACTAAAATAATTTTTTTTCTTACTTTAGAAATTAATAGAGCCAGAAGCGCAATGCTTACAATAAGGTGAAAATCATTTTCTGATAAATGGCTCATATTAATTTCTAAACCATTATGTCTATAAATAAATAATGCATTTAAATGCTAATTTTATTTAGAATTCACTTTATAATTGAAAATATAAAATATGCATATTTATATTTGGTAAATATCCAAAATGGTGTGATTTATCATTCAACCCTAATAAAAAAATATATATTTTATGACGATTTTATGCACAATCTCATGACAAACTGTCCTATTTTAGTCAGCTGTTAAAAACGAACAAAAAAAAAAAAACATTTATTGAATTATTTGTGCAAATTTTTTTTTTAATTGCAGCAACTCTGAGCACTTTTCTAAATCTTTATTCTGTCTGAAGCTCTTTCTCAATCTATCAGAATTTTATAATCAACCCAAGTTAACCTATAGTTAAAGATATAAAGATATTAATGTTTTGAGTCTTATGTTTATTTGACAGTGATTTCACATTTCTTGTTTGTATGTAGGCTAAATAAAAATGAAATATTAACAATAATTTATGTGTACCATTTTTATTTCTAAAATATTCTATAGTTTTATAGGAGGAGGTTTCAGAGACTTGGCAAGTTAATCTTGCAGAAGTTTGAAGGTACAGACATTCGTTGAGGGCGTTCTTGGACGTTTTTCCTGAGGCTTTTATACTGTTCATATCGATATCGGAATTATATCGTATCGACCGAAATTAAGAAATATATCGTGATATAAATTTTGGCCATATCGTCCAGCCCTATGACGGCCTCTCAAAAAAATAAAACCAATTGTTTTTCTTCTTAATGCTTATTGGCTAATTATCCACATAGCTTGTTATCCACAATCAGCATCTGACTTGGTCAAGACAAACTCTCCCGTCCGGCTCTGATAAACACACGTTAATATAATGTTAATATGATGTGAATATCATCATTGGATTCAATAAACTGGTCCTGGTCTTGGATATCACTCAAAACCGGAAAATACGAATCCTCATCCGTGCCGCTAATGAATTAATGTGGGGTCCGGTCCACTTTTACATCTTCGACCTTGCTTTCAAACGGAGCGATCATAGGAAGGAAGTTTACACGGCTATGGTTAAAAATGGAAAAGACATTATACACACAAAAGGAAGGGGGGGGGGGGGGCGAGAGCGACAGAGTCAGAGAAAAGGGAAAAAAACATTTTCAGGAATGGGTTTTGTCTGAGCAGGCCAAGGGTATTGTTTCCTGACAGCTGGGGGACTCGGGGGGGCAGATCGGGCCCCTCGCTCCCATCCACAACAGAGGAAACTCTTGGGGTCGACGGCAGTCATCCCCCTACTATCCCCTGCCACACACACACACATCCCTAAACTGAATACTGGGCTAAAGAGAAACAGAAGGCCACCATTATTACTCTATTTGGTTGGTTTGGTCATGTATTATCCCACTGCAGGAGCCCCGGCCAAGACATAAACACACACAGATCTACATATTAAGTCATAAAAAGTATTGTTAACATCTTCCAGTAAAGATGCCTCGTTCCAGTAAAGCTCCCTAGATCTGTCTCCAATCATTACCAGTGCTGTAAACAAGATTTTACATTGATTCAACACACACCGCTACATTCTTAAAGCTAAAAACATACGTTTAGTGGGAAAAAAAACGTGGAAGATTTTGAGTTTTCCATCGTGATATTTTCAATCAATTGCCCAAATCAATCAAATAATCAATCAATATTTAACAACTTCCATGGTATGTGATATTTTCAATAAATAACATTTCATAAATTATTTGTAACATCTGGTCATTTTTAAAATGAATATTTCCATAATAGTCCAATGGACTTTGATTAAATTGTGATGCAGAGAAGTGACAGAAGGCTGTGATATTATGGTTATGGTTATTATTAAAAAATAAATGAAAGATAAAAAAAAAACGTTTCAAAGATGGAGAACAATACATATTTGGATTAGAATTTCCGACCGTTAAAAGAAAAAATCTTCAACAACTACTTTATTTCAACAGGCGCGAATCACACAATTGATTGACACACATTGACACAAGTCAGATTTGGATTTTGGTAATAGCAGGCCATGTGTGGCTGAGCCAAATTTGCAATCATTATGTTTATAACTTGTAATAATTGCTTAATTTAGTTCTTTGTTTCTGCTTAAATGAACACATGATGTTAGCTAATTGCATGATCTGCGTTATAGAACTGTACCCTTATGGACATTACATGGACTTACTACTGATAACAGATCACGCTAAATTGAACTATATATTTATTGTGAAAAGCCCTATAGAAATAAATGTAAACTGAACTGAATAGAATTGATAGTTTCAGGATTTCTGAACTACTTCAGTGGTGTTCAATATAGAACTCTAGTGTTCTTGACTCTTTTTAATTTAATTTTTTTGCTTTATGCCAAAAAGGTTCAATAAGGAGAAATGTCTTAAATGAATGCATAACACTTTCATGTTAAACAAATTATTTCCATTCATTCTAGTGACAATGGAAATTTACAAGCTGCTTTATTCATACAATTGAAATTAAAAAAAAAA